TACATGTACAGGTAAATACATTTTGTACATGTATTTACGATTCATACACATTTTCAGTTTTTGCCAAGGTATAAATGAACATAACTCAAAACCTTACAAGTGCCCATCCTAAATCTTTGAGGATATGTTGGTTACATCTTAAGCTAACAATTAAAAAAAAGTCACACATTTTTAAAAAATTATGCATTTTTGCTGATCATGGTCAAAGGTCATATATTTGCATAATTTCTCAGTGATATGTAGGATGATTTTGATTTTATTTTAGAAATGAAGGCCATTTCAAGAGCTTTAAAATTATGTACAAGGAAATTTCATCTTTGTTGTTGGATTACTTCAGGAGATATGGCTGCCTAAACAAAGCAGCTCAAGCTACCAGTAGTTGGTCAAAAGTTTGTTAACCCGTATCTCAAAAACTTATTGACCGATTGAGATAAAACTTCAGTGCTGTGGTTTCTCAAGGAATCCAATCAGCACATCAAATTTCATTTCAATCTGTGACGGTCAGGTCCAAAATCATGTTGAATTGACACAGAATGACCCAGGTGCATTCAAATACATTCATTGCTGCTACCCTTTAAGTGGGGTTGGACCCCACACTGTAAAGGCTTTGCACTCCACATTTGCAATGTGTTTGCCACCTTGCTAAAATTTAAAGTCTTGGAGAACACTGTTTTAGTCATTATTCCTCCTAAGTTATTCTAATCTGGTGATGGAACATGTGCTGCCTCTTCAAATCTCCATAATTTACCACAGTGGCCCTATAATTTGCCCAGGTTTTGTAAAGTTTGCTGAATATTTTGATAGATGTTTTTGGAGAAATTGCAGAGCAGCTGTGATCTTACACTGCTATAACAATTCTTTGCATCTTTCAGCAATGGGCTGTGTTTGCTAGAATGTGGTATCTTATTGATGCGACTAAACAACCCCCAGGCCGAATAGCAAAAGCAGTTAAACCGATCCTTGAGGGAAGACACAAGCCTATTTACCATCCTCTGAGTAAGTAGAACGGTACATTGTACATATTCCTGTTAGTAACTGCATGACAAGAAACAAGTATCTGAAAAATGAATTGTAGTGTTTGTTGTGTAGCTATTAAAAAGTTTGATTAACTCTTGTTAACTTCATTCAAACCCTGCTTGACTGAAAGTACAGTACAATGCCACTACACCAAACACTGCGAATATGTACAGTGTACATGTGTACTGAACAATTGGGAATTTCAAATACCTCCTCTTGGGTTCTAAATTTTCTGTGCACTATTACTGAATATTAAAAATTTGCTTTAAATTGAAGAAAAAAAATTAGGACTGATGAGGATGACACACAAGTTAAGGAAAGTCCAACAGTCAGCAATCGTGTATAATTTCAGGTACTCCATGTGCGTGTACAAATGCACATAGGACCATGTGCATGTACAAATGCACATACGACCATGTAACCTGTGGCTCATGCGTACATGCATTTAACATGGGTAACTCTGATGCAGAAAATCTTACTTGGTGTTATTGGTAAAAAGGCAAGGAGTTTACCATGAAATATCCATCAAAAACATACATGCAGATACTGGCAGATAGATTCGCCTTTGTGACTGAACTCACAGAAATCTGTCAAATATATTGCCACATGTAATTCCATTGATTTTCAACAATGCTTACCTGACATTTCTCATATTGCCAGCTTTGGTCATGTACCAGTATGGATCAGGTTCTTTAGAATGGTTCCCAGCACATGTATTTTAGTTCAAATTTAGCTGTGGGAACCAGTGTAATCATACTGTCGCATGCAATTTTAGTCAAAGAAAACTCATTAGAAATTTGATTTCATTTTGCAATTCAACTTCCAATAAGAACTACTTTGTGAAATATGGAAATGAACATACACATGTACGTGTACTTTTGAACGTAATGGTTGAATTTCAGTGTTAATTTTTTGGGGTAAGTTGGAAGTATTGGTCCACAATTCTTATGAAACATTCGTCCGGCAGGCTATGACACATTTGAAAGGGCCAGAGCCTGGAACAAATGCATTAGCAACTGAAAATCATTAAACCAAAAGACTACTAATATGCTGAGATGGCAGGAAGTCATTTCTTTAAAGGAAGTCCAATTCAAGTCATAAGTCACTTGGCCCAGTCAGTAGTCAAGTCACAAGTCCAGTCACAATACATGTATGTATAGACTGCATGATGGGGCTGTACACGCACCATATACCAACTTGAATGAAATGAGATGTTATCCAATACAGAGATGTTTAGTCCATTGTAACTCACCCAGCCTCAAGTCACAAGTTACGTTTATTTAAATGAACTGTGACAAGGGCATTCAATCATCCATTTTTATCCCATAAATGCGATTGGACTTGTGATAGGTCCAACCATAGCTCTGGTCTACTGTGTAGCAGATACATGTAGGGGTACTTAGATTTGATAGCCTGGATGTCAGATGACTGTCTCCTTCATTTTTGATAACAGGTGATGTTGGAGATCATGTTGTCATCATCAACACATACCACATAGCTTTCAGCAAGGACAAATGGAGAACCAAAATTTATAAGCATCATACAGGGTAGGAGATAGTTCAGTTCATGAAATTCTTCAGACATTCATAAGCTGGGACATTGGTGTTGCTTGGTATTTGAACCCAAGATTCATGTATTCACCTGTTAACCCCATCGCGCCGGGACACGGCTAGAGCCGCCGTAAAAATTGAGATCCTCAACCCGCTTTTCAGCTATTATTCTCGGCCCACGCTCGAGCAAACACTGTGAAAGAAGGCAGACCCTGGCTCTTGTATATATGGTGATTGGCGTTTGTGTGTAGCCCAGAAATGAAAAGACTGAATTTGCATCATAATCAACAATAGTCCCCACTTTTAAAAGAGGCAACGGGAATGTGGAAGGGTGAGTAGAGCCGCATGCCACCGAACAATCAGCCTTTTCACCGTGTAATTCAAAGCGTGCAGAGCACGCAGGGCCACAAACTGAGAATTTGCTGTTTGGCAGGTGGCCTTCGTGGCCAAGCGAGGCATGAATTCTTGGATTTGGCTTTCGGAAAGAAATTCAAATTCAAGGGGTTAAGAACACATACATGTATATGTAAGTGACCACTCATGTCCAAGTGTATACATGTACCAGCATATCCATAAAGAGTGCTAATATCAAACCAGCTACCCTGTCAAATTATTCTGTTACACATGTTGTCTAAGACCCAAAGAATTCTGGCAGAAATATTAGGAGATATGGTCCTTGGAATATTCAGTAGGGTTAATAACTCAACAACATACATGTACAGGTAGCATGTTATGTTTATGCAGATGCCTTTTCAACTAATTGTAGAACTTCTGTTGGCTGTGTTTGGTGTGTGTACATGTGTGAGGCTAAAGTTGTAGGTACATTGTAATCTTTGCAGGTATCCTGGTGGGTACAGTGAGACACCAGCATACCGCATGCATGAGAAAGACTCAACAATAGTAAGTACATGTACATGTATTTCTTTTTTAAAGCCTTCTCCTTGGTGCTTGGGAATTTCTAACTCTCAATGACCTGTGTGACCTTGACGTATGTATAGTACTGCTCACAATATTAAGGAAACATGGAACATGTTTCATGTGAACATGATACTTTATATCATGACTTTATAGGGCAGAGATCACCCATGGTACAGGGATTAAGCTGTGTTCCCTTTGGACTTTTTTGGTTAACTTACCGTGACTTTCCTGTAAAATAACAAAATTAAATCCAATACAAATATGCAGTAAAGTAATGGCCCTGTCCATATACCGTAACTGATGTAAAAACTACATGTACCAGGTTGAAAGTGGTCATTGTGGTCACGGAAGATTTCTGCGCGGCCACAGTAAGTTAATATGGGCATTGAAAAGTTCAATGGAAACAGTACCCATGTAGTTTTGCTGTAACCACGCTGTAAACCTCTGAACAGGAAAGCTCTCTGCTACATAGGTCGACAGCAGGTGTATGAAAATAGTCGTATGGTTCCCAGTCTCCATGCATACAGCACACCAGCATACAGCGTGCAAAGACAGTGAAGCACACCCGGAGAAAGCTAGGCACGCATATGTATGAGTATATCTTGTCCAAACGCCACTTAACCACTTGCTCTCGAGGAGCCCGGTTTTGGGTACTTTGGGTTTGTACGCATAGCTGGGGTGCCCGAAATCAGACAAAAGAGCTGGGCCTTGCAACACAAGACCGTACTCGGAACAAAAAATAGAGTTGCTGGGAATCACCAACATTTTTTCAGTTGTCAATAGCTGAGGAAATCCATCATTGTTTTGAAAGGTTATACCACTGTTTGTGGCATGCAGCATGAGCAGATTACCACCAGAGACAAAAGCGCTCCAGCACTCCGGCGACGAGCAATACAGTACAGCTGCACGCTAATCTAGCCCATATTGAAAAGACGCCAGCAGCGCACTGTGCCAGTTTCGTGAACAAAAGAAACTTATGTAACACCACACAATTTGGGCTCTTTTTACAAGGCGGCAGGCCTGGCTGAAATACTCTGGCATCAATAGATCTTGTCTGTCAGATTAAATGTAGCCACCAGACAGTCACTTGATGGGGTATAGGCATTCAGGAAAAAAAGATATGAATTTTTAAGATTTTTGAAAACTGAATACAGTGTATATTGAAAATCGCCTGGTTTTAGAACCTACATTTTCAAAGGTACCAGCAGCAAGTGGTTAAAGCATGGCAGGTTTTGGCAGATTTTGTCATATTTTGCAGATTTATTTATCATATCCCACTCAGGTCAAAGGTGATTTGCACAGCACTTGCTGTGTGTGACATTCAGCCAATCTCAATCTTGCACAGGGGTTAGATCATGCAAGGCATGGTGGGAAACAAGATGGCTTGGCAAGATCATGCCCATGGGAACAAGGTTGGCATTATTCAGGCCGGAGCAAGCCTTGTGTGTAAACATCATCTTTGGACTACCAGTCATTGTGCTGTGATATGCTGCCTATGAAATATCAATATTCATGTGTTCATTGGGACTCTGTACCCATTCCAGTGTGAGCGAAAGTAGTGACTTGCAAGCTCTACTATAACTTGTGGTAGCACACAGTTCAATGTAAATTTGCGGCCTGAAATAAGATTAGCAAATTTTTGCTGTCGCTGATAGAGGGCTTTATAACAACTGATTTAGGACGTGCAAAGTTCTTGTGTCATGCATATCGTGTCGTTTTGCATCGTTTTCTACGGGCTTTCAAGCAGTTTTTGGACAATAACTCATCAAAATATTGTTGTTGCAAGAAGATTTCTGCAAGTTAATTCATCGAACTTGATCTCTTATCTATTTTCTGTGTTTAGGAATTTAATATGTTGTATTGTTTGTACTTGAAGTGAGCGCGTTTCCACAATTTTTCCTGCCATGGCACGACGTTAATCGCCTGCCCCTCAAGATGCATCACACACTTACCACGCGACACACAGACATTGTTCGGCAGTTTCCTGTCATGATTACCTGACTAGCATTGTGCATAGTGGTGTGATTGTCCATGATTCTTAAGAATCGTCAAATGCAGATACATTAAATATTGATTAAGGCAAATTTTTATCACTTTTTAGAAATCTTAACATTTTTACACAAATAAAAGTTTGCAAGTGCTACTTGGTAAAGGTGATAGTTGCATGGTGTTTGAAGAGTAGTACATGTACCTGTAGATGTGTTTACTTTTGCATTTCATTTGTTGCATATCTTCTTGGTATTACATGTAAATTTGTACATGTACTCGGACTTGAACTTTGGTACTTGGCCTCAGCCCAATACTCGGCCTTGAATGTACTCATACTTGGTGCTTTGGACTCGGACTCATCATCAGTGTACTTGGCACCTAAAGTACTCAGAGTACTCTGTACTCAGATTTGAAGACTTGACTTCAACACTGCTATTACTAGTTCATTTTAACTTTCAGGAATTTCAGACAGTTGAAGAAAAAGTAAAATTAGAAATATATGCATAGCCTAAATGGACCATGGAGCATTTCAAAATTTTCCTGGGGCCTCAAGCGAGCCTCAGACTCCATGCCGTATATGCTTCAGGCTTCATGCTCACAACTTCAGCTATTTTCACTTATTTTTTGTAATTTTCCACTCACAGCTCCTGAAAGTAATCAAGAAAAAATATCCACTGTTTAGCCTGAAAACACGGCAATAAGCTTATTGTTTAATGAACAATTTCTCAATTTATTGAAATTAGTTCAAATATCAGAATCTCAGTGAATTGAAAAAAGAACTTTAGTAAATTCTGGTTCGAATTTCAATTCAGCTGCACAGCAGGACTACCAATCATCTTCGCGCATGGCACAGTTGACAAACCCATTACGTCATACCGGTATGTACATGTAGTTACACATGTATATGTACCGGATACTTGCATGCCTCCCAAATTAGAAACAGATGATCAGCTTTTGGCCAATTTTCAAATAATGGAACTCTAAAAGTAAATTTGATGCAAACGTTTTTGGCTGTTGTGTTGTTTAGGATGTAGTGAGTGATGGTCTGCCGTTTAAACATTTTGTTGAGTTTTTTAGCTCCCACAAGTTTTACAAATCGTCTGGACGTGTCAAAGTGTCAGTTGGCGATCTGGCCCAAATTCCACTTCTGGAAATTTTCTGAAAACAAAATTTGTACAAGAAGAAGCTTGCATTTTACATGTGCATTTCAAAACAGCACTAAGTAAATTTCTTTGTAAGGAAAGGAGGCTCTGTGTGCCAACTGAAATCAATCATTTTGATTGATTCATTACCTTATAATTTGACTTTCTCTGCAACTATTCTGATTACAGTGCCTCAAAACTCAGCAAGCAAAATTTTGATACCCATAAGTATCAGCGTTAGCACTTAGCACCACGTGAACACTGTCTGTTATCTTTCAAGCTGTGGAAACGTGGGGATGGATTTTTATTATGCAGGCTGTCAAATTTGGATGATAAACAAAAAGGGCATTATAACGAAAAATGGCTTTTTCACTTGAAGCTGAAGGTATACGTGATTTGTAGTCCCTTCTTCATTCTAACTGATACACATGCGCGCATCTAAAAGCTTAGGGTTTAATGAGACTGCATGCATTCATCAGTCAACATGCTGGCCAAGCTACTGGACTCTGACCTTGTGAATGCTTGCCCCTCAAACTTCATGCATAGGCTTTTTGGGGAGTAAGTATAGGTTCAGGCAACTAGCAGTCAGCTATTGCTGGTTTTGTGAGCCTCAGCTGTTAAGCAAACTTAGAGGAAAAGGGCAGTGAACCAGAAAACTCCAAAATCAAGTTCAGCGAGATGAAGGATACTTGAAGAACATCTGAAAAATTTCTCAGATGACCTGTGAATGACCTGTGTGACCTACTAGTTTGGGATCGCTAGGTGTGTAGTGGTGAGTGTCTGAGTGACAGTATGCACTGGGATTCTCAGCTGT